ACCGTCTATCTTAGACCATGTATTTGCTAAGTCACTCGATTTTGTTGGTGACATTACTTACGGACCTCCACTGGGTTCCAGTGATCATGTTTGTTTGCTCTTCAGTTGTACTCTGTCTAGACGCTACCAGAGTACTGCTGAGTCTCGCCCGAACATATGGCACGCAGTCTATCAATCCATGAGAGTCAAGGCTTCGGGTTTGCATTGTGAAATCTCAGACGACGATACTGTCGAGGTTGCCTGGGATAAATTTACGTCCTACCTCACAGAGGTCTCTGCTCGCTTCATCCCAGTCACAAGGAGAAAGGAAACACGAGCACAGCCGCCCTGGATAGATCCCACTGGCAGGCATCTGCTCACAAATAGGTCTAGATGTTGGCGGACTTACCGAGATGCTCCGTCCATCGATACTTATGATAGGTACCGTAAGGCTAGAAATAAGTGTAAGCAACACCTAAGGATTGCTCGGCTCAATTTCGAGAAAGCGTTAGCGGACGAAGCTTCAGAGAATCCAAAAAGATTCTTCGCTTATGTCAAAAGGCGCTGCGGTTCGAACATGTCAATTCCAGTATTGATGCGTTATGACGGTACTCATGTGCATAGGGACTATGACAAGGCCTGCGTACTCATTGGGCAATATGCGACAGCGTTTGTAATGGAAACCTCTTTGACAGGCGTGGAGCTGGTTTGCAGGACGCTGGAGGGTTCAGAACTATCTGAATTTATTGTAGCGGTGACGGAATTTCGTAGGCTGTTAGAAGGGCTGAACCCTTCTAAGTCCTCAGGGCCTGATTTAATTCACCCGAAACTGTTGCATGCGTTGGATGCGGAACTAAGTGGACCGCTGGCTATTGTGGTTCAGAAATCGCTTGACAGCTGTGCATTGCCTTCCGAATGGAAGGAAGCTGTCATCTGTCCCATCTTCAAAAATGGGTACAGGGGTCTGCCTGCAAATTACAGGCCAGTTAGTCTGACGAGTGTAGTAGTCAAACTCCTCGAGAAACTGATGAGAGGTTCATTGGAGAGTCAGCTGAGTAGATTTAATCTACTTAGCAACGTGCAACACGGATTCCGGAAGGGATTTTCGTGTCTGACTACTCTACTGGTGGCTCGCGAAAGTTGGGCGGATGCAGTGGATAACGGCCACGCGCTGGACGTGCTTTCGTCGACTTTTCGAAGGCATTTGACAAGGGACCACATTTGAGGCTCGCGCAAAAGCTGTCCTCCTACGGGGTATCTGGCCGTGCCCTTCATTGGGTGACTGCCTTCTTGCAGGGTAGAGAACAGTGTGTACGCGTTGGCCGGGGCCTATCGTTTAGGCAGTCTGTCCTCAGTGGCGTGTCGCAGGGCTCAGTCCTTGGACCGCTGCTGTTCTCTATCTATATGAATGACCTACCCCCGGAGCTTTAGGTACCATCGCTGCTATTTGCTGATGACCTGAAGCTGTGGAACATTGTCGATGTTCATGGGTGTTCCGAAGCTATTCAGCGAGCATTGGATAAGCTTTGGGACTGGTCTACTTTATGGTTACTGTCCGTAAATCAAGCAAAGTGCTCCATTCTTCGAATTGGAGGAGGCTGTCCTCCTACGAAGTACGTGGTCGGTGGGGTCGAACTCCCCCGTGTATCTAGCCAGATTGACCTAGGCGTCGTGCACTCTTCTGCTTTACACTCCGGCGACAACTGGAATAAGGCCGCAAGCAGAGGTTTCCGCATGTTGTGGTTAATTCGACATTCTTTCGGAGTCTTGACGGGCGGCATCTTTACGAGGCTGTTCTCGGCTTTCGTACGGCCTCATCTGGAATACTGCGTCCAGTCTTGTCCGCCCTGCCTCGTCCGGGACAATATGGAGCTAGAGGGGGTTTTACGAGTGGGTACTATATTGGTCGAGGGATTACGGGGAAGGACGTACCCCGAGCGTCAACTTAGTTTGAGAATGCATTCAATACACTGCCGAAGGCTTAGAGGAGACCTAATCCTAACCTACCGTATCTTAACTGGGAAGGTTGGTCCAGATTTATCTTGGCTATTTAGTCCCGCTATATTGTCTGTTCTACGCGGTCATTCCTTGAAGCTGGACAAACCGCGGTCCGATCGGATTAGGGCGGAAATCCGGCTGTCACGCCGAGTTATCGACTGCTGGAACATGCTTCCGGAAAGTGTTATCAAGGAATCTACGGTTAAGGGGTTTGAGCGGCAACTTGAAGCTCTTGGGTGGCAACATGAAACCTTTCCATTTCCCTGAGTAACTCGCATCTTCGTACTTCGATTTTATTTTCTCTAATTTTCTTCACGCATGGGTATTATTTTCTTATTTAAGTGCACTTCCTTATTCCGTACCTTCGATTTCTCTCCCTATCCTTTGCTTACTTCACGTGACTGCCACATCAAGGACTGCTAGGGCAGGAAACGTGGATATCAACTGATTGGCCAGGGTGCGATACGGGTGTCCCGTTTTAGATCCAGCGATAACTGAGCACTTCATCAATTCCTGGCTCGACGATCTACTCAAGATGGAACACTCACGGGATTCTCCTATTGTTCCAGTCCCATCTGAACTGAACTGAACTACATTTCGATTTGTTATATTTATGACTACTGGTTATTTTTCAAGTAGACACGAATTATCACCTAAAATATGAATAAATACACGTTTTATTCCTCGACTATGCGAGGCATTGAGTGGTCTGATCAACTTGTACAACATGATCACATAGTCTAGTTACTCGTATTTTGTACAATGGTTCTCAAAACAGCTTGTTAAGTTGCTTAGCACTTTGAAACTATTTGAGGGAGTAACAATAATAAATGTAGATTTAGCCAAAAGCTCGATTAAATTAATACGACCATATATGGAACTATCCCCAGGAGACCTGCTTCCATGTAGGGTATTCCGTCAACGGGTTTCACCCGCACTTCCATACTCCAACTGGCTCTGTGCCCGTGCGTCAACATAGTACGTAGGCCATCACCTGTGCAACAAAGTATTTTTCATGAGGGCTATTTTATGCATACATAATGAGCGGACTGTAGTAACTACCACCTGCCTCCGGTTGCGATTCTCTACAAGGTCTGTTGTCCTCAGACTCAGCGTTTGATAGCTACTTTTAGGTTTTCTCCGCCACATTGTGGTCGATTAAGTAGTTGGGTAATTTTAAGCCCAAACTAGATTTCACAAGGTTAATGGGAATGGAATGGAGTAACGGAAAGCTCTACCTGGCTTCGGTGTGACATTAAAACAAACCTAATCAAGGGGTGTGCAGATACTAATCATACCCACTTGCCAGTATTGGATAATTAACCATTAGACAGTTAATCACTTTGCACCTCATCCGGCGGCTTGCGTTTGGACCCAAAGGCTAGTGACTGAACACATGTCTGAGGCACAAACTATACCGCACCCCTGGAATCTACGCACCGCCACTGTTCAAGAACCAGGAGCAAAATCCAGGGCTAGGCCTGGGACGATCATACATTGAGCCAGAAGAGCCAAACGTAGTATCATCATTCTGCAAAAATGGGATAGACTCCTCCTCAAACGGTCACTTCTAGACGAGCCCAAGAATCACTAACGATCGTATGTTCCAACGTTCCTGTATCTTGCGAGAACTTCATGCATTTCTATATAAACTCCATAGAAGATAAGCTACTGGATAACCACAAACAGCGGGGATACGTATGCCCACCAGTAGCCGTCTATGCTAAACCGGCTACCATATTGCTTGTAATGCAGTAGTGAAACCCGCCACGATACGGTGAACCAGGACTATTACGAATATTGCTACAGTCAGCAGAAGAAATAGGGTAGCTTCTTCCGTCCGCCACATGTCAGTCTATACTCTGATTATATGATTTCGTGTCTCCGAGAAATTGCCAACTGTAATTACTCCCCACATTTTTATGTGTACCGTCTTCTAATTCCCATTCCATGCAAGCACGATTCTTAGAGATTTGTAATCTTGCTTAGTCACTACTTTACTACGTGTCCCTTGTAGAAAACAGACATCAAGTGAACTTGATTTATCCGGTCATCTTGTGGTCTAGGATGCCCATTTTTACTTGATTGGATAGACAAATCAGCTGCGCTGTTGTAGTCGTGGTGTTGGCGCTTGGCACGTTGCCTGTTATCAGAGGCGTATATAAAGTGTGTTATGTGTACTTGTCTACCTGAACAGTTGTATGAAAGTGTGCAAACTGCTGCCGTGCGGTCCTTTGAGGTTCTTATCAACAAATGTTAGCCGCGTTTGGAAATCGTTCAGACACGAGTACCTTATAGTTTACCTTAGAAAACAAGACCGAAAGCGGATACTGAGCAAAGCTTCCTTTTCATAGAAACTCTCATCAGTCTAGTTAGTATGATTACATGTTGAAAATTGCACACGACGTTTGACCATCTTGACTGGGAATTGTACTGGGCACATTTTAATAAAACAAATAAGTCAAAAACTTAGGCCAGTTACAAAGGCAGCACTTAAAACATGGATCAAGATCCTGACCCCCTTGCTATTGGTGCAAACCCTAACGAGCTCACTTTCAGTTGCATTTGTTTAACATAATCAGAAAACATCATTGACTTGCATAAACCTATTGTAGCTATTGTACCAAATAAATTGGCGGTGCAGATTCATGTTCCGGTTTTTGTTTTTCACTGGGCATACAAGATTTTTATGCCTCACCAAAACTGCCACCGGAGATCTCTCAGTTACGCTGATTTAGTGAAGCGATGCGACAGGGTATGATTTGCTTGAGTCTCCAGTAAACCATAAACTGAGCCTGCGACGATAAGTGTTTGGAAATGAAAATTCAACGTTTACGCCCATTGCTCCTACTAATTAGTTGTGTGACGATAAATGCAACCAATGAACGCAGTTAAACCTACGGGCATGCGAGTAAGCAACCGCTGATTCCAAGAACAGCAGCACTCATTCCCTTCGGTTGCTTATTTTTTCAGATATTTTTGTACGTGGCGGACTCCTCGTAATCTCCTTACTTCGACGACATATGTCTGGGTGGTATTTTTGTGAGGCCCGCAACGATATTCCACCGCCTGCCATCAGTGAATCTCGCCTTTATGTCAGATGTAAGTTGTAATAAAAATATCCTTTACTTCTAGTGTAATACGTTGAAAATGTACTATTCCTCAACATATTTGAAATATCCTCTGCCAGATCGACCTGAAGTTCGGATATCAAAAAGAAAAATACAACAGAATTTGGGCGAGAGCAGCGTAATCAGATGTATAGTTGAAGCTTATCCACTGGGTGTTGTCGAGTGGTATCTGAACGGAGTTCCAATTCACACACCGCCTTGTGAGGTGGGGAAAACTATGCACATCAAATTTTGCCAAAGTGAGTAAACGTATACATTAACACAATCAGTATGTGGCCAACCATGCTTATGGAAAATATATTATTGACAGTTTACTCATGTCAATGGTAAAGATTTAGTTTCCTACGCACGCCAGTAATATAGCTCGGAGTAACACTAACCAATGGGCTTATGTGGTCTCTTCATGTAAACGAAATTGGCAAACTCTCATTCCATCGTGGACGTCTCACGACTTCTGCCAAACCCCGTTTTTCGATCCAATTTTGTATCACTGCATGTATATTACCCTACTGGACCTATTAATCTCCCGTGATCTTTCCTGGTCTGCTGAATAAGGACCTAAAAGTAATTAGCAAATCGGCAAAGCATCCATTCCACTGTAGTGGCATTTCAAGTCCGGGACTTGTTAACATCATTGTATCCAGTATCTACAAATTTTGGAACAAGAGTATAAATAAAATACTCGCTGATGTTAGCTACCTCCTCCACAGGCGTTTTCCAAATGTGCATCAACTTCTCCTACCAAGCAAAGCTGAGTCTGCATCAGTAGTTCCTTGCCTGTCACTACTTTTGCACGATAAAAATTCAGTGACGCATGAACTGGTAACTAAATTACTCCACTGAGAGTAGATCTGTCAAATAATTTCTATGACCATGGTTTTAAATCTATCCTCACATAATATTTGCTACCATTTGTTTTCCCTGTCCGTATCATGTGTGTTCGAGCTGAATACACACCCTCTATTGTTGCACAAAGTACATCCTTGCTTTAACTAGACCTGAATGACTTAACCATTGTTGACTTGGAGCCTGAATCATTCATTGACCATAGAAGTATTTTAAAAATGCACAAGTCTATCGGTTACCATGAATCCGATAAATTTACTAGCGTCTTGTGGTGTAAACGAAACAGAAGCACAATGAGATTTGAGCTCCGCTTTCCCTCTTAAATAAATGTAGTTCTTAAGCCAAAGACATATATGGTATGACAAAAGGTGATACTTAATCTGTTTAGGGTAATACGTTCTCACCCAGTTGTTGTCGACTCTTCTCGAAAAGTTCACGGCTAAACCTAGAAGTTTGCAAAAACCACAAGCAAGTGCGGATGGAGCGTAATGTCACGGCGCCGATATGAACGAGTTGTTCGTTCTGGCTCCGTGCTTGCATACCTTTTCATCCCCAATGTTATGGTGGTAGCAGTAAAAGTAGTTGCGATAGCAGCATCAAAAGTAGTACCGATGGAATCTACAACATCGGTAGAAGTGGTAGTAGCAATGTTCGTGGCTGCGCCAGAAGCTTTTCATATTGTCGTTGGTGTGTTCATGGTTGTTATTTCCGTTTTGCTGTTACTGTTTCTATTTGTCTCTGTTGCTTTTGTTCCTGCTGTTTCCAGTTTTGCTGCTGTGGCTGCTGGTGGTGGTGATGCTAACTTATGTTTGCTCCCGTCTGGTTTATAACTTTTGTACTTGAACTTTTCCGTAATGTGCAATGGCTTATCTTTGAGTCGTCCAAATAACTCGCTATTTGAAAATCAGCCGGCGTAACAATTTACCGTCGTCTGAAGGCAGTTTGTCATTGTGAGTTAAATGTGACTTCTCTGTCCAGGGCCAAGACTAGCTGCTAACGTCCTCCCAACATGTACGCGTTCAAACCCCTAGAGGCTGTGGTGTCAATATACTCATTCAACAATTAGAGACTATTCAGTGTATTTAAAGGAGATCATGTAACAATTCGTTCACATAACGTATTCTTCAAAATGACCCACATTCAACCCTTAACCGATGGGGCAAGCGTACTGCGACTGACTGTATTTGGAGAAAAAGCCTCGGCAGCCATCTCTACTTGCCACTTTCTAGTTGCCTCCTGCTGAACTCAATAAGATACGAAGTCGTTTGTCGATTGCAACCATATGAGCTGGAAACAAGTAAAATTGACTTTGTATAGTTATATCAAACGGCATGCAAGCAATCAGTTGTCCATTGGCCTCCCATCAGTTAGCAAGACCCAGGTCTAGAGAAGAGGAAGATGTCCATTACAGTTTACCGGGGATGTGTGAAACCAATAATGATAGCGTAGTCAGTGAACACCTTACTCGGTAACTACGTGAGAAACATGGATTCGAGCTTCATTGACGGTTACTACATGCAACCTTTCTATCCTTCAGTACATAGGGAACGAAAACTGAGCTGAAAAGAAAACGTCAGCATAAATTTTTCTTCACTCAGTCCCATTGTTGCATGCTGCGAGTAAAGTCATCGCACGCGTCAATAGTTTCGACTATCAAGTTGGGTAACGATAGTTTCTACTGGGAGTCCACATTTGGTAAATACGTCTCATGCGATACTGGACTAATGAACAATCCTAACCAAATCCAAGAAGGCGTAAACCAGAGCGCTGCATAGATTCTAAATCAGTGTGTTTAATCCCATGCCGATGTGGTGTTCAGTTTGCTGGGGGACCAATTGACTCACTCCGACTGTTTATCATAAAAGTCGTACAAGGGAGATAAGGTTACATCCCATATACGTATTTTGGATATGGAAGTTCAAAATATAGATATGGCAGTTAAGCGGTAACCTCACTTGAAACGTTCAGTGTCTACTTATTTGCGCTCATTCGGTTGAGAGCTGCTTATGAGTAATAGGACAATTCACTGTTGTATTCGAAGACACTGTCAAAAAGGACATAGTTCAAATCCGCAAAAACCCAATATATCCCAGAGATCTGGCAGGACAGTTGAACAGTTTGCAAAAGGTCTGCTGTCTAGCTTCGTCCACATTCGGCGTCGTTCGCGCGTTTGCTTAAAATAACACTTGAAAATGGCTCCGATTTAAGACTGAATACCCCTGGAAAACTGAGGGACATGACAATCGCCAATAAAGGCCACGCAGCTGATTTTTGGCTAAATGGATCCTCTCTGAATTCGATGGGTTGTTGTCTGCTCCAAGTCTACGAGTACTGAGTCCGGTGGGTCCTGCATTCAAATTTCGGAAGAAACAGTAATACCAGTGCGTTTTCCGATAAAATTTAATGCGCTTGCAATCAACGGGAACTTTTTTATTCCACGCCAACGTCTACATTGGCAGTAACCCATTACTCGCAAGGGTGCCAGGTTAAATCTGACTTAGGGCCAAAGGAGGTACCGTTCAGCCAATATGTAAATTTAGTTGAGTTCCACGTGACAAATACACCGCGGTTAACGACCTCACGTTATCCGTCCGGATGCGGTCTGCACGCACGACTGTCAGACTGGATAAAACAGCGCGTGTTGCTTGTCTCTTCCCTCCACAAGGTCGTGATCGTAGTTGATGTGAAATCGAAATGAAGCGCACACCAGGTGTCTGTAGGAAGAAAGCTAATTAACAATTCGAGTGTTTAAAACAAAAATCGTTTCCCCTTACCAAAACTCTACGGGTACCGTTCATCAGTCTGTTTCTAATAAGTGATGGTGTTCATAAAGAGAAAGGTTTCACTTACGAAACCGGATCCCGAATCACGAAAGTGTTATAAGGAAAAGGTCGCGACTGGTCCCGGACTTGATGGCACTCGATGTTGTCAGCGTCGTTGTAACTCCTAATGAACCTACTCACGCAGATGGCCCAAACAATCGGAACACCAGATGACCAATATGCTGCAGTCGGTTTACCCATTTGGTTTAATTGAGACCATTCTAGTACTGACTATGTAGCTTTGCTCTTCTATAAGCCGCTCCTTGCATTAAAGTAGTTAATACCAAAAATTTTCTTTCTGTCGCGTGCTTCCCGAGTGATGTGATATATATCGATGTCGGCCGGTTTGCGTATACTCATGTGCGCCATCAGTCGGCCACACTGTATCCGTCCCACCGAGAAAACACGACCTCCTCGCCCCGGGTAAACTTGCGTGGTGTCATTGCCTCAGGCACTTTGTCTGGATATTCTATCGAATTTCTCTTGTTGTTACGATGTCCTTTGGATTGCAACTTTGGTCTTCACCTAACTGATCCGTATGCATGCGTGATTAGGTTTATCAGAAGAAGCATTTGATTAATCTGCTAGGGATACCACTAAGATTTGCATTTAAGTTTGGTTGAACAGGCCAACCTTTTTCGAATGTCATGCCATCCATTAGTTGGGTAATAGCATGATGGCCTGTCGTCGGGCTGTAAGCACAGTCGTGCTTAGACTATAGAGGATAGTTCGAAATGTGATGTCTTGAATAACTGCGATGAAACTGATGACTGTTCGTCAGTTCAACAGCCCATGATACCCTTACTAAAACACTCTATCATTACATAGCCTTTTCACTGTGACTTAGAGGGGTTTTAATGTGCTCAGTGCATGCAACAAATGATTGCGCCAAAATAGGCTTCTCGACGGCTCAAAACCTTTTCACTTACATCAGTCCGCCTCTTAGGAGAACTCGTGCAAGTTACAGATATCGCGTTACAAGAGGACCGGTATTCCGTGGGTAAATTACATCTGTTGTGCGATAGAAACATTTCACTGCAGATTGATACCAAACCCATTTAGGTCAGTCTGTTCAAGAGGGTTGCAGCGCTTCTGGTGATCATGGGATATAATGCTGTGCGTATGTCATTCGTAGAGACGGCTGGTTAGATGAAAACCTCATGCGAATTATCATACGAGAAGCCATGGGGACTACCTACTTCAACTATTATGCGTTTAATCGACCACTGCTTACAATGTTGGGGATAAATCAGTGGTATTTTGGCGCAATACAAATAAGATAAAATACAAAAACTATCAAGTTAACAGAATGCGAAATAACACAATTCTTCGGACCCGAGTCCGGCAGTCGGAAGAAACCAACCAACGCAAACTTCGAGGTCGACTGACGTGCACTCTTAACTAGACAAATAGCAAATTTCTTCGTCTTCTTTAGACAATTGACCCCAACACGAAGGATACCCAGGAACATTTCCAAGTATCTCTATTCTGAATAATTCATTAACTGTGTCCAAGAGCCAAACACATATCAGGATCTATTGCAATCGGTTGCAAATCTAAGGTGAACACCCTATCTATGTGTTGGCTCGCACATTCCACGTGATCAAAGGAATGAACAAATCCGACGTTGCTGAAAGGTCGATGCCAAAAAGTGAAAGACTTGCCGCTGCATATAAGAAGCATTTTCAATGTGTTTCTTCGTGCTTCCCAGACATCCATTCGTCGATTTGGATAAGACATAGGAGTCGCGAATATCTTAATGTGTAATTTTCGGACTTTCACTTATGGGGTTATTCTCGGAACATCTAAAAAGACGGCACTGGCCATATTCTATAGCCAATTTCGATGCCGTGTCTTCTCCGGAGTAATCTGTGTTCAGTATACCCATTAACAAACAATTAGGGTCAAAGGTGGCACGTTAAACACTGGGGTGATCACTTTCAGTCATTTGGACTTTCACCCTTTCTAAACTACAAACATGTCTTTAACTAAAGGCTTTATTTTCTCTTCTACTGCAGAATTGCACAACAATGATGGTGAGAGCGGAATAGCTATCGTTAAGCTGCGGCAGCCGACGCCATTTCCGAATTTTCGGCCACCATCCGAAATAAACTTGCAGCAAACACTGAATGCAACTTTGTTGGTAACAAATATCACACATTCTGATTTGGGTTTATACACATGTCGAATGAAAACGGCGTCCGGAGTCGGCGAAGATCATACGTGGCTAGAAGCACAACGTAAGTTTCGACAGGTAATAACTACTCGTCGCTCCAACTTGCGAGCTTACATCGAAAGAGATTTACGTTAATTGTCCCTCTCCCTTGCCACTGTAGCGCATGTTGTCCAACGAGAGACTGTTGAAAGTAGGACTCTGATACATCATATATACGCAATTCCTTAAAATTGTTTACACTTTTTGAACTACAGATCATTTGTAAACGATGTGAAGCAGTCGGTTCGGTTTATACTATATGTGACTTGGTAGCTAAGGTGGCTTTAAGTTGTGTCCGGCTTTTTAATCTACCTCGGACGACTAGAGTTGCGGCTAGTGCCCTGGAGAAAGTATGCGCGGCATCCGGCAAAAATGGTTGAACCGTGCAACTTCACTGATCTATCAGATCACTTGCGCGAATTAGACCATGTTAAATACATATAAACTTACTGTGTCTACACTGATTGGTTGACATTCTCCGTCCGTTCTTATGCAGGTTTTGTTCCTCTCGGTCACTGTGACTAAATGTTTAAGGAAACTCGTCGGATTTTTGCAGGACACCTGTACCGTGACTGAATGGAAGGCTTTAGACAATCGGGTCTCTGCTTCTTTAAGCTACCCAAGTCTGGAAATAACCGCGGAGGTTTGTTGTCGATATTTGTCCTGTACTGGTCGTCCAGCAAGTTGAGGGATCCACAGGGAACCAAGTGTGATTATCAAGTTTGAATACAATATTGGCTTGAAATGCTGTTATTCAGTAAGGAGGTGAGGAGTTCACTTGTAGGACTCACACTGATATCTACTCAGTGATTGAATGGTGAATTAGTCACCTAATGTTACGATTCTTGGTCATGTGTCGATTAAATAGTTTTCTAATAGTAAACAAACTGATCATAACGCACTCGACACCTCGTACTCAGGAAACTACTCAGCGTATTGAATTCATTCGATAGAGAAGAAAGGATCTCAGGTGGGTTATGAGTTTTTCAACTATATACCGCTCCGTTTGATGCTTGTGGAAAAGTACAAATCGCAAAGCTGTCAGTTGTACTTCCTTTCCAGCAGAAGTTCGTTTTCAACCTTCACGACTCACAGGTCGCTTTCAAGGTAATCAGTTGGCGGCAACTCGAGACGGTCCACAACCGGCATTTCTACTGAAGGCAACTGATACAAGGCTCATACTGAGATCAAGCGCTTTTGCGCAGCAGTTACAAACTAACGGAGCATTATTATTTGATATCATTTGCACCATCAGATGGCTTCTAATAACATGGATTCTCCTTCTGTAAAATGTTTCCGATGGTTTTCTCTTATTCCCACATCTCTTTGTATTGTACCCTAGTTAAGCGTTAAACTCTGTACGATCTTCTGTTTCTCGTGGTGTACAATTTCACCCATCTTACTGAGAGCAAGCTTGCCAACCAATGAGGAAATCAAAACGATGGTTAGTACTTATCATGACTACCCAAGCTGATCAGAAACTAATCCGGGGTGAAAGCTTGAAACTAAAAATTGCACACCAACAACTTCTCCGGTTAATAAAAAACGTGTAAAACACTGTATAGGGAAGCATTGTTGACAAAGAAACCCGTCAACCAGTCTTCTGAGGCTTGCAACAGAAGCTACTTCTTTTAACTCTTTCGGTTTCACATTGAGCAGGACGATTATGCGGAGGATGAGCTACACGGTGGTGTAACAATCTTTGAGGCGCTTTCCACCAACTTGTTTCAATATGTAGTTCATATTTCAGAGTTGACCGAAAATGTAGTTAGCACGGGATGCCGAAAGTTGACATAATCTCTCACAATGTAAGTGCTTATGGGTTACCTTTGTCAAAGCTGGCAGTGGGCTATCCACGGTCAGCTTCCTATTCGGTAAACCCCCTTAGCGAATAAAACTTAGTTTGAAGGGACAACTGCAGATTGCGCAACTATACAAGTATAATTTGGCTTTATTAAGTATTTATGTGGTTTAAAGTTTCACAAATTCAACTCCGGATCGCTCGCTAATTTATTTCACAACAAGCATATACAGTAAGTTAGTAAATAAATTAAAAAATATCGCTTTACTTACTGAAAAGCTGCGTGCCACAGCATGGAGGTGCAAAGACAAAGGTGTCCACTAGCTCTCAAACAGTCACCCATTCCCTTAATCTTAAATTGCCATCATGTTGTGTCCATGCAAGTCACGGTATTCTTGAAGAGTTCAGAGAAAAACTTACTTCCCCTTTCATCTTAAAGTTATCGCGGAAAGTCTGAATGGTCGCGCCGAAAGAACGTTACTAAATGAAATAGCTAACTTAGCTTGTGCGATTTAAAATTGCAGTATTATATCAGGAACAAACAGGCGCATTTCACTGCGACAAATTAAACTGAAAAACCTTATCTTTTAATAGAGGAAACTGTTTATTTCCGTGGTGTACACTAAGGAGAAACAGACCGTGCTTATTCAGGTGTAAAAAACAAATCCCTGTTAGGATGCACAGGATAGCCAGGGCGGATAATACAGGAACAAAAACAAACTGATTCTAACGGACTGATCAATCGAATCATGCGAGCGCAGTTGCATGCCAGATTACCGCTGATTTACGCAGTGCGCTGATGCGCACACTTATTCTAGTAAGTACATTATCCTTTGAAACGGTTTACAAGACATAACGTTTAGGAGATAGAAGTTGCATATTGGCTATTGTCCACCCGGAAAAACTTCAACCCACCACGAGCTCCAACCATCTTGCTCTCATCAGGATGTTGCAAAATCTAAATAAAATTTCAACTTGACGCAATTCTGAAATTGACACTTTACTGCTCTACAAAACTTCTAACCCAACCGAAGGAAAAAGCAGAACGTCAATTACCTTAACAAAATAACATATTAATCGCCGTCAACAAACACTGTGCAACAACGGCGCACCTTGACTGTATTTATAGGACTCTTACTGACCTTCGACGTCTAGAATTGGAAGGTCAGCTACCAAGGTTTGTAGATCCTCATAACTTTTGTGGAGGTGTCAGGTGGTTTTTAGTCACGTGCAGAACCTAGAACATTTCGGAAGGTTTGAAATTGATGCGATAATCGTTTAATAATAGATTAACCGCTAAAATAGTGGATTTTATTGGCAATGCTTATTGTCTTTTGGACGCTCCTCCTGAGATATCCTCCGAGGTATACGATGAGAGCCTAGGATTAACTTGCAGTCTTCGGGACGGTATTTTCTGCCTGTCGGTCCGTCTACTTGGCAGAAGTGTCCGAGAACTGTGTTCCGATGTCGGTGTTCTGGATTCTTTGTTCGACTGTGTGCAGTCGTTCGCTGCTTCCTTCGGCAAGTTGGAGCTTTCCACCAATAAGTCGAACTGGAGGTCGGTAGGCCTTGCTTGTTCTGGTTGGCACACGCTGGACGTAACTGGTTTGCATGCCGTGCCCAGATCTGTGCGCCCACGATCAAGTCATATAGGACATTTCCGCGTTTGCTTTTGATCGTCCCTGGCGTCCATTTCGCGTGACCATCTCGATAGTCAAGTACTAGCACTTTCTGTCCAAGTGTTAAGCATTGCTCCTTTGCTCCATGCCGTCGGTTAAAATCCTGTTCCATTCTGCAGTTTCCTTCACCAACAGAGCATTCCGAGCGCGGTCGGATGGTCTCGAAAGGCATGCAGAGCTTCCGGTTCATCATAGCCTGTGCTGGAGAAACTCCGTCCGGCGTTTGTGGATCCTGTGTTGATCGGTAAAGAAAAAGAAACCAGTAAATCACCTTCTCTATTAGTCCCTGCTTTTTTGATTTCTGGAGAGCTCGCTTGAACGTATCGACAAAACTTTCTGCCTGACCATTCGACTGTGAGCGAAACGCCGGCGAGCGAATGTGATGGACGGCACATTGTTTGCAGAACTCCGTAAAAGTTTCCAAAGTAAATTGTGTGAAATCGTCAGTTACAATTGTCTCAGGACAGCCGAATCTGCTAAAGGTTCGGCGCTGTTTGGATACAGTGCCATTGTTACTTGTATTTTCCATGAGAAATACTTCAGGTCACTTGCTGTGTGAGTCGAGTATAATGAGGAAAGTTGTGTCCTTGATCGGTCCTGCAAAGTAGACATGGATGCGTCACCATGTCTTGGTAGCTTTTGGTCATGAATAGAGTTCTGATTTTTGTGGCGATTCCTAGACATTGGCGCACTTTGGCCGCGTTTAGTTATTTCTTCTAGCTGTTTGTCCATGAAGGGCCAGTATACATAACTGCAGGCAAACGCCTTCATCCAGTTGATCCCAGGATGCTCGTCGTGGAAATGCCGAATATGGTGCTCCTGAAGTGCCTTGGGGATGACCATCCTTTTCGAAAATCGTATGCAGTGGTTCACAATAGAGAGCGAGTGTCTCCTCCGGAAGTACTGTTGCGATTCGACAGATGGACATGAACGTGGTCAACTTGTGTGAAACTGTGTAACTTTCTTGAGTACTGCGTCCCGAAGCTTTACGGTTCGTACGGCTTACTTGGTTACTGGTAAACCGTGCAATGCATCACCTACCAGATAATTGACGTCAGGTTCGATCTCGAAAGAAGCAATGATTGTGTCCTCATGTTCTTGCTGATGGGCATCAATTAGGCGTGACAGTGCATCCGCTTGGCCAATAGAAATTCTCGACTGGTAGTGGATCTCGAAATCATACTCCATTAAGGTAAGAGCCCAACGTTGTAGCCGGTTGGCTGTGTAGGCCGAAATGCCCTTTATCGAACCAAAGATGGGGAGCAAGGGCTTGTGATCTGTCAGAAGCTTGAAGCGGTGCCCGTATAGCATTTGGTGGAATTTCTTGACCGCGTACACTATGGCCTCTCGGCTTTCATAATTGTTCTGGCGGCATGGGCGATTGCTTTCTGTGATCCATCGGTGTAGGTGTGTGAAAGTATTGCGCCAGTCCCATGGCATGATGCATTTGTGGTTAAGACAATCTCTTTGAAGGGATCGAAATGAGTCAAGAGCAAGTTTGAGGACAGCAATGTCTTGACCCGTTCGAAGGCATTCTGGCATTCTGATGTCCAGTTCCAACTTCGGCCTTTGGCCAGTAGCTTGTTTAACGGGGCACGCAAGCGGTGCATCTCAGGCAAGAATGCGCTATAGAGGCTGATGAGTCCACAAAAGGAA